GCTCGTTATCACGGTGAGAAGGACATGGTGATATCGTTGGTGGAAGAGACGATGTCTGCCATTAAATCGTACGCGAGATGCTTGTATATGTGTATACGAGAGTCAAATTAGCCGACGTTGAACATAATGGCCACCGGCAGCCAAGACCGAAACCACCGAAAACCTGTTTTATCCCTTATTATTTGATACTCGAGCAGGCGAACAATTTTACTTTGTATCACTTACAATTACAAAGCATCGTCTGTGGAAATAGAATCTCGTGTAAAAATCTCGATAATATATGTACCAAATTTTTCAGTAGAAATATTTCTGAAGATCGAAAATAAGACAGAAATACTCGCGTTGGCGAATGAAACTAGGTCAATGAACAATGAGTATTTACAGAATATTTCATAACTACTCCCCGTAGAAATGAACATTTCACAATGATTCCAAAAAGCATGACAAATGGAATTAATGATTAATTAATAGGAATTAAATTGGCATTGAAATATTTTTCACTGAGATCATTATCTTTCATATTACAAACTTTATCGACCTGATGAAATTCGTATTTTCTCAATAAATATTATTCATGTATGTTCACTTGTTATTGATAAATAATCTTCAGATTTTTCGTACGTTTTAGAAAACAGTTAAAAAGGTGGAGAATTAGTTTACGTATCAGATATCATATTACAGAACACAATTATAAAAATAATGAACAACATATCTTTCATATTTTAACATTACAATCGTGCAATAAATAAATCACGCAGTAAAATTTACACAAAAGGATTATTCATTGATTTACAAAATGAATCTTGGTCGATAAATTTTTCAAGATAAAGTAGTTCAAAATTTCGAGCTATTTAAAACATAAATATACATGTGCGACATGTACTAAGAAAGAATCGTTATTAATGTCCAAGATTTCATTTCCCCAAAATTATTATTTCGTTCAAGCTAATTTTCCACATCGCTTAAAATCTATTAAAATGTCTGCAAAAATCTCCGTTAATAATTGTACTTATACACGCGCGTATGTGTTATTTGTAAGTAAGTTCGTTAGGTTAATCGATAAAATAACACATTCATTCCCGAAATCATCGACCGAGCAACAAAACGCCTCGGCGCGAATTCTCGTTCACTCATGATTTATGAAACTTTATTTTCGGTGATGGATACCCATGGTCGCGGCCGTTTTGATTTCGATTTGCGATAATACCGCTGGCGAAATGGAAACCACGGACACGCATTGAGCAACGCTCACTATCAAAACGCACGTCGAGGTCAATGCATTCCAGTGGCATTAGACCGCAGCAGGTCCTTGCT